TATATATATATATATATATATATATATATATAATGTGTGTGCGTGCACTTGTATGTGTGTGTATATATATATATCTTTCTATTGTTTAAGTTGTTTGTAAGCATTGTTATACACATTGTTACACTGTCACATCACGCAACCTTCAATTTAGAATGTTTTTGTTTACAGATTTACTGTTCAGTTAGTGATACCTGAAGAAGGGCATTGCCCAAAACGTTGTATCCACAATTATATATTAAAATATATATATACTCCTTAGTGGTTTGACTTATAACACTTCTTTTTATAGTTCTATTAGTCTATTTCATGAATAATTACTTTAATATAAGTTAGACAAGAAACATTCTAATTCTATCAGCCTATTCCATCAATAACTACTTTAATGTAAGACAGGAAATATTATAATTCTAATTAGTCTATTTCATCAATAAGTACTTTAATTCTTTCCACATGGGTCAAAGGTCATATCATCACATTTTTTGACTCACATTCAGAATTTTACTGAACTACTATTTTATGAATTTATGTGAACAAGTTTGGAATCAAGCTGCAGATTATAATTTAAATTTAGTATTATACATTATTTGATCTCTTAATTTAAAAGTAAATATAAAAAAATACACACCTAAACATCAATTTTTGTGTGTCACATGTTATGTTGAATGCAGTACTGGTTTAAATTAGATGTTTGTGATGTTAAAATACAAAGTCTGTAGTTTCATATGAATCAGAAACTCAAATTACCGATATTAGTAAGCTAGAATATAAAAGAAAAACCTTTTAACTTTTATATTTGCTGAGATATCACTCAGGTACTGAATCAAACACAATGGCTCTGCTCACCTCTTTCTATTTTTGGAAACACTCCCTTATATACACATAATTCTGTTTTTGACATGTGAATAACCAATCGAAAGCTCAGAATGTTTCCCTAGTGGCTTTCTCAACCATTTTCAAATATTACAACATCATTTCATTGTTTCGATATAATCTTCATGCTAGTAAGGCGAGTCTTTAGTGTGCTCAAAATTTAATATTTTTTAGACACAAATACAGCTTAATTACCAAGCTTGATAAATTATAGTACAATTCTATGGTATCAATTTATGATTTTTTGGTTATTCAAATGTATATATACCCCCCCCCCCCCAATAGAAAAAATAAATTGTTTCACATCCTCAAATTGTGAAATTTTATAAGGCTTGGCAACCTATGACAAGCATCAAACAAATTCAAAAGTCATAACTAGAAGAGATAATCGTTTGCTTTACTTTACTTTCTGTTCTATGTTTTAAGAAAAGTAATTTTAAGAACTTATTTGTAAATAGTAATAATATATATAAATACTAGTCCACTAAAACACATCCAAGACAGGTCACTTTGTAAAGACTAAAGGTTTTATATTATTGGATATGGTAACATGAGTGCACATGCGCCACATCATTGTAACTTTTGTATTGTTAGCCAAGCATGGCTGAAAGGTCAATATAATAAAAATAATAAATATATATAAATGTAAAATGTTATGAGATTTAAGCTATTTAGTCTAAATATCTGTGTTTTCATGCTATAATTTGCAGTCACTCAAGAATAAAAAATATATAATTTATATTTATTTCCTAATTTTTTTATGTTGATTATGAAATCGGTCAAATCGACCCACACAGAGACTCTTTAGTGAAAATAACAGATAAAATATAAAGTTTCTTCTTAATAAATATTTGATAACTATTTCAGTATCTGGACATTATAA